TATGTTTGTGATATTAATAAAAGTTTGTTTAGTGTTGGTCAGTTAATAGAAAAAGTATTTAAATCATTATTTGAAAACAAATATTATCGAAATTTTACAAGTTGAAATGAGAGGTCAAAACTTCTCATTTATTTCAAAAGAAGATGCACACAAGCCTTGCAAAACAAAGGGTGAATTAACAGATTTGTTCACAAGGTCAAATTCAGATAAGACTACAATCTATAATTCTTGATCCAAGAAGGAATGTTGAGAATATGTCTCAAGATACTACAGAAATAAATCGGTTAGCTACTTTTAGGATTTAAAATTATTTTATTAGAGTCCTACGTAATTTGAATTTAGGATTTTTTTATTTGTTATTTAAATTTTAGTGATAAGTTATTAGCATATTTTTCTATTTTTAGTTAAGAATTATATCTATAAATGTATGTCTTTGAATGATTAATAAAATAACAAAGAAGAGTCTAAAATACCCTTATAGTATTAGAATTGGTACAAAAATACCCTCGTTTATCTTTTGGCCTTAAAATACCATTGGGGATAACCTTTAGCGACCTATTTTGCCCTTTTGGCTAACAGACTACTAAGTTAATATATTTAATTATTTAATTTATTACGTGGCATGTTGTAATTGGTTAAAAATTTAATTAATTAAAATCTAATTAGTTTGACTCAAACCACCCTATCCACCCGGATCGACCCGACTCATCTTTCAAAATACCCAACCCATCCAAATAAAATATCCATTACCCATTTCTTTTTAAAAAAACCCTAAACATTCCCCCCAACATGTATCAACTTCAACATTACTGCAACTATCAAGCTTGCAGCACCAATTAAAACACTAAGTAGCCATAGTTTCCAGCTGAGCGGTGTAGTGCTTGCCAACGTGCCTAAGAACTCAACGATGATAACTTGGAAAACGACAGTGGAAGTTATGACACCTACGAATATCCAGCTTCCAAAAATGCGACGGAACATAGACTGTCAGCTGGAACTGCACAAACTTTTGGATATTGGGGGACTGATGTTGGGGGAAATGTTTAGGGTTTTTTAAAAAAAGAAATGGGTAATGGATATTTTATTTGGATGTGTTGGGTATTTTGAAAGATGGGTCGGGTCGATCCGGGTGGATAGGGTGGTTTGGGTCAAACTAATTAGATTTTAATTAATTAAATTTTTAACCAATTACAACATGCCACGTAATAAATGAAATAATTAAATATATTGACTTAGTAGTCTGTTAGCCAAAAGGGCAAAATAGGTCCCTAAAGGTTAACCCCAAGGGTATTTTAAGGCCAAAAGATAAACGAGGGGTATTTTTGTACCAATTCTAATACTATAAGGATATTTTAGACCCTTCTCCGATAAAGTAATTCTCTTTGATAATACTGCAATATTTTTTCTCTCAAAATCTTTCTTTGTTATTTTCTTAATTTCTTTATTAAAAACCAACAAATCAGGGATTTTGTATATAACAACTTAATGTTAGGACTGCAATAATTAGGTGTCGGAAACTAGTAGAGCGAATTTTGGAAGACCACGAATAAGAAACAAATCAGAATTATATCAAAAGACACAAATATTTAATGTGGTTCCATCAATCGACCTACATCCACAAAGAAAATAAGCAATGTATTATAAATATGAGAATACAAAATATAGAGAGAAATAATTTCAACCAATTCACTAGAAATACAAAGAGGTTCAAAATTCTCACATAACCAAAACTGTAAAAATCTCTAAGACTACATTATGAATGCTTAGAATAAACGGAAAATGGCCTAAAATACCCTCGAAGTATTGAAAATGGTACACAATTACCCCCATCCACCTATTAGCCCCCAAATACCCTTCACATCCACCTTTGGGTCCAAATTTACCCCTTCATTAACGGACCAAAATTAAAAAAAATTAAATTGTAATTTTTAATTACGTGGCACTCAACCATTGGTTGTAATTTAATTATTTAAAATAATTTAAAACCCACCCATTACCCACTCAAACCCGCCCCACTTACCCTATTTAAAAAAACCCATGTAACTAAAAAACCTAAAACTTTATTCCTCCAATTTTCACAAACCCACACTCGTTCATTCCTCCAATTTTCACAAACCCACGCTCGTTCATTGTCTTCTTCTTCTTCTTCATCATGAAGAAAATGTCAGCTTCTTCTTCGATTTCTTCCTCTGAAGAACTTCAATCTCGTACATGTAAGTGTGAATTTTTGGCAAGATATTATACTGCTACAACTCTTGAAAATGGTGGGCGTCGATTCTACAGATGTGGTCGTGTTGGGTCGAATTCTTGTGGTTATTGGAATTGGATTGATGACAAACTTCCAAGTCATGTGTCAACCATGATTCATAATAAAAAAGTTGAATTGAATTTAATTCGGAAAGAAAAAAAATCATTTGAAGAAGATTGTGGAGGATATGGGTGGCATTGTAGATTCTTATTTGAAGGATATGACTGCCGATGAAATGTCTGATTTGAATGATATGAATGAAAATGAAATTTCTGATTTGACGAAAGTTTCTGCCTTGAAGGGAAAAATATCAAATTTGGAGTTGATGGATAAAGGTTGAGAGTTCAAAGATGAAGAAAGTATCTAGCTTGGATGAAAAAGTTTCAAAGTTAGAGTTGAAAGTTCATAAATTGATAAGTTTGCTTGCAGTTTCTTGGGCTATTATTCTTGGTTTTGCAGCTGCCAAGATGATTTAGTGTAGTGCAATTGTTTGTGTTAAGTTAGTGAGCTGCATTTTATTTTGATTATTTGTGAAGATGATGTTGGTTGTTGTTGTGTCTACTAATGAAGAATTATGCAATATTGTTATTACTAATGATACATTGGTGTGTGCATTTTCTGGCAAAGCTACATTTGTTTTGATTGTTATGTCTACTACTTCATTGTTAATTTCTCATCAATTTGGCAGTAATTCAGTGATTGTTGCTTCCTCTGTTCAAAGGTTGAAAGATATGAATTTCACATAAACTTGTGACTTAGGGTTGTGGTAATCAGAGGCTAAATTGTTTTGCCTTGCTCTAATTTTTTGCTTTCAACCCCCACATGAAAATTGTGAGAAATCACAGATTGGTTTACACTCTTTTTATGATGGTAGAAACACATAATCAACACCAAGAGTAATGGAGCAATCAACAGCTCAAACATAGCGACATAAAACATTTGTTGACTATCACTACCATCTATTTCAGGGTTAATGCCACAGCTTAATGATACCTAATTAAATAAGGACTCTATCTGTTGGAAATCTGTCAAAACGCGGCTGGGTCGACGGACCACGCGACGGATCGTCGTGGTCACGACGGACCGTCATCGATTCCGTCGACCCATACTTGTGAAATTTCTTCTGCTGCTCTCCTTATTACCCTCGACGGTAGGTATGACGGATCGTCACAGGCACAACGGTCCGTCGAGGGTCTCTGTTCCAAAATACTTGAACTCTTGGAATTCGAGTACTGGGACTACTTCTCTGATCTTTATGATGAACCAGCAGGACGGACCGTCACGGATACGAAGGTCCGTCACACACGGAAAATTTCTCCTGCTGCTCTCTTCATTATCCTCGACGGCAGGTAAGACGGATCGTCACAGGCACAACGGTCCGTCGAGGGTCTCCGTTCCAAAACACTTAAACTCTTGGAATTTGGGTACTTGGACTACTTCTCTGATCTTCATGACGAACCAGCAGGACGGACCATCATGGATACGACGGTCCGTCATGCACTCCGTAACCCCACACCAAAATTTTCCATCTTCAGCAGCTGCACTACGATGCCACCTACTGACTGAACGCATAGCTATGGATGTTAGGAACACTAACAACTCAAGTATTGAAGAAGCCAAAAAAGAGTAATGGTGCTTCCTTTCCAGCCACTGTCCTTTGCATTTAATAATATTTTAATGTACACTAAACAACTCTGCCATTTAATCATACAACTAACTCATTATTTCAATACATTTTCCAGCTCAAATGTTGGACCTGAAAATAAAACAATCGAGTGAAGCATCTCTAAAAAAATACTATGGTCTGCTCATCAGTTCCATAGACCACGAAACTGCAACAGTTCCACAACCACAAAGTTTCAACAGTTCCACAAAACCACCAAATAATAGAATGCATTCATAAAATTTTCAAGTCACAAAATATTTGCAGCCCACAAAACATTATCAATCAAATTTGTAATGCTTGACCCTCCAAAAATAGCAGTTTAAGAAGTTCCATTGTGCCATTACATACTAAACAAAAACTTTAAATCAATACTTAGCAACTACTTTCTAATGTTTGCCCCTCTTTGCCTTAAGCTTGCCAATCTTTTTTTCCTTGTCTTTTTTTCAACTGACTTGAGGTCACACATGCTTTGCCTTTCCAAGTTAGCTTTTTTGGTGAGTATGGTAAATTAGTAGGGACAACAACACCATTTTCATCACCCTTAAAACTAATCATTCTTGAACCAATTGGTTGTTGTAGAATCTTCTTCATTTGAAGTCTAGTTTTTTCTTTAGATATCACTCTAGGTGCAAGGACCGTATCCTCATCCTCAGATTCAATACCGTCTTCAACTTCATCCTGATCAACAATTGCAATCAAAGGTGCAATAACTTTTTCTTTTCCATCGTTTTTAGACCTCTTTGGTAGTGCATCAACTTTGTCCTTTGAAACATTTTTCTCTTTGATTTTGAAGGACCAACAACTTCATTGAATTCTTCACTTGATTGATGGCTAGTTTGTCGACTAGAAGATGCAACAAATTCAAGAGTTGGCATCAAGATTGGTTCATCTGGGAAGCTGTAAAATTTGTCAAAGTGTAAGATATATAATTATACATTGGAAGTAATTAAAAATTGATAAAACATGACTTACTAGGGGACATCTTCTGCGACTATGACCTACAACACTGCAATTCTCACATCTCATTTGCAATCCTTTTCTACTTTTCGACCATAATCCTTCCCTTTTTCTTGCCTCATCTTTTTTCCCTACTCTCTTTAATTTTGGTCTACCAACCAATTTATGAATTTGTGGTGGTTGCATAGCTTGAGAAAGATCAATTTTCCAGAATTTCTCACCTCTAACAGGTTGAATTTTAGGCTGGTATACAAGCAAGTAAGCTTCTTTAGTATACCACCAATGCATCTCATTCAGTGGCTCTATTTTATCATGTTCTAATGCTTTAATAGCATGAGGACATGGTATTCCTGTCAAATCGCATGTCCTACAAGTACACTTCTTTCTAGCAAGATTCACAACATGTGGTATCTACACCCTCAACCACCTCATATCCTAAGTCTCCATTAGCAACAACTTGACAACCTTGAGCAATCATTCTGAAATCATGATACAGATCCACAGAATATGGACTATACTCTTCCGTCCACTTCTTACCCTCTTCTTCAAGTTTTTTCAACCTTTTCATAACCTATAGATAACAATGAAATATATAACATGTACATGACATATATAATTTATACATGTACACCTACATATTACTATCATATTAAACATTAATAGATGTTATCATATAGTTATATAAAATAGCGGCAATACCTTAATTCTAATGTCTTCCAGCATCTTGATTATTGGTTTTGCCCTTGCTTCCAAAATTTCATTTGTTGAAAGACTTAGTAAAATTATTTTCACAGGAGTAGTTTTTGCAGACAGTGTTAAAAAAGGCCCTGCACCAATGTTGTGGTGGATAATATAAAAGACTTTCGACTGCTTTTTTCGACACAGAACCCATGGACTTTAATTGGTCTTCAAATTCCTCTCCATATGTACTCCAAGCAGACCACTAAAACATCTTTTTCATCTATACACCACTCCAAGACTTAGACCAATTGGTTTCTATGTGTTTTGCACACCATCTATGTTGTGCTTTTGGAAGCAAAGCACTAACAACACTAATCAAGCCCTGTAACAATAAGAAAAAAAAAGAATAGAATAGCTTAAAAAAATTCAAGTGTATACAATAACTATAAATAAAAAACTGTCAACCACTTGCAAAATTACCTGTTGCATATCAGACATTAGTGTCAATCCTTCACCATCTGCCACCCCCAATGAGTTCCTCAGCAACTCAATGAACCATTTCCATGTTCTAATAGTTTCTCTATCCACTACTGCCCAAGCAAGTGGATAGAAATGCTTCATTGAATCTTGACCAAGTGCGACCAATAAAATTCCCTTGAACTTGCCTCTTAAAAAGGTGCCATCTAACCCTATAAATGGTCTCAAACCAGCTCTCCAACCACTTTTCAAAGCCTGAATACAAATATACATTCTCAAAAATTTTCTTTGTCCATGTTCCAACAAAGCCTCTTTGGATATGTTTATAATTACATCAGTACCAGGATTACTGTCCCTTAACTCTTGAGCATAACACTCCAATTTATTGAAATCATCAACATAGCTACCATCTAGTTTTTCCAATACAAGTCATTTAACCCTCTTCATTTTTGAATAACTAATATTAAGGTTAAAGTTATCATCTACAATCTTTCTCATTTCAGTCACTTTGCAGTTAAGATCATTTTGGACCCTATTCTTAAAGTAGTGTGCTAGAGCTTGTTGAGTAGCTCTTCTATTCTTGAATGCTTCTGGACATGTATGTTTTGTTTGCAAAGTCTTAATTTCAAATCTTTGCCCTTTCTTAACTTCATAAATAAGACACACAAAAGGACAACCAACAATACATTTATATCTAACTCTAACATAGTCACTCTTGTCAACTCTAAGGGCAACCTTCCTAGCAATTGAGTAGTAACTTACAACCCTTTTAGCTTCATCAAGGTTCTTAAAACTCATACATTTTTCCAACTCTTTAAAGTTGTCAAGTTGATCATTAATTTCTCTTTTCTTTTCCAACCTAAAGGATTCCAATTCTTCACTATTGTAGTCACTTGGATAAGGCTCATTTTCATCATTTTCTTCCTCACTTGATTCACCTTCAGTTGCAACATCTATTCCAGCATTCACTGTGACTAGATTAGGTTCATTCACCGTGACTAGATTAGGTTCATTTTCATCATCTTCTTTGACTAGGTATGGTTCATCATTGTGGCTGATGTCAATAGCTGGAACAACATCATCCCCCTCATCTACAGCAAATAATTCAAGTACACCAGACTTAATAGACAGTGCTGTCTGTATTGTTCTTATGCCAGAATCCCCCTCAATCAAATAATACCTCCCAGAAGGTCCTTTGAGTAGAAGTTGTTGGACCTTACTAAAACCTAACTTTTCATGGAACTCTTCACATATGTCTATATATGACAATAAATCTGGATCATACTCCTTCCAAACACGAGTGAATTTTTTAATGTAAATAACATTAGGTGTCAGTACCCACTTGCCCCCATAATAGAATAATAGGTCCACCTTGTCAACCATTCTTCAAGAAAAGGACATTATAGACAAAAAAAAGAAGAGAAAAGGGCCATATTAGACAACAACAAATATTTAAAAAAACAGAGGAATCTACCAAGAGTAAAAGAATAGGGACCACATGCTTCAAAGTAAAACTTCGCATACGCAAAAATATATAATATAATACCTAAAATCTAAAAAAATGGACCACTTAATAATAAAATATTTCATACCTAACAATAGTAAAGGCATATCTGACTAACACAAATTGAAAAGTATTATGAAATAAAGGGAGAAACGACGAGTAAAGGCAGACTAGAACAAACTTGAGACAACAATAAAAAAATCGTACTCAAAATCAACATAATAACACACAACACTAACATAAATAGACAACACTAAACAAAATTGTAGTATCACCATAAGTAATTGTCAAAAAAGCACAGAATACACGAAAAATTAACATAAATAGAAATCGATTCTCAAAACAAGTAACATCGATTAAAACCTAAATCCTAACTGAAATTTCGAAGTGCACAAAAGTTCTTACTTGAGTTCAAGTCGAGGTTGTGAACGAATTTTCTTCAAGTTGCAAGATGAAGAAGAAGAAGAAGACAATGAAGACGAGCGTGGGTTTGTGAAAATTGGAGGAATAAAGTTTTAGGGTTTTTTAGTTAGATGGGGTTTTTTAAATTGGGTAAGTGGGGCGGGTTTGGGTGGGTAATGGGTGGGTTTTAAATTATTTTAAATAATTAAATTACAACCAATGGTTGAGTGCCATGTAATTAAAAATTATAATTTAATTTTTTTAATTTTGGTCCGTTAATGAAGAGGTAAATTTGAACCCAAAGGTGGATGTGAAGGGTATTTGGGGGCTAATAGGTGGATGGGGGTAATTGTGTACCATTTTCAATACTTTGAGGGTATTTTAGGCCCTTTTCCGTAGAATAAATATAGAGTCCTAAACTTCTACAAGTAATGGACTAGTCCCGCCTAAATCTTTTCTTGGAAGGAAAATCTATTTATGCTAAAAAATTTAGGGCAAATAATACCCAACACTTAAAGTCAATGCTAGGATTTTAACTTGGCTTAATACATAAACACGACTTATAACTTGACGTCAACTGACAATTATAATCTTTAACTTTGAGTGTGCACAATTAGACAGTTAAATTTGTATAAAATTAAACGAATTAGATACATTCAACCTACGTAGCACCCTACATGACAATTTTGTGTCATATATGTATTATGACAATGTAAGACACATATGTCTACTTATTCAATTTTATACAAATTTAAGTGTCTTATATAGTTGTTTGGTAAAGTCAAGTTAAAGGTCATTTTTACTTTTATGGGTTCTAATTTTATAATGATAAATAACCAAGTTCTAAAGTTAATATTTGAACATATTTAATGGATTTATTTACACAAATTATTCTATTTGAACAAAGTCTAATGAGTTCATCCAAATACGCATGTTGCTACTAGCTCCGGCCTTGGAGAATATAATCAAATAATTTGTTTGTAAAGTCCTAAACTTTTGATGAGATGGCCATATTACATTGAAGTGCAGGGGAAGGAAGCAAGTTTAGCTTCTTCTCTGAGATGCTATGCGTTTCCTTTGCTTCAAATCCCGTCAATTTTCCACTATTAATGCTGTCGTGATAGTTAATTCCAGAATCAAAGCCTTCATCGAACAAGGAAACCATCTTCAAGCTCTGTTAGCTTACTCTAAAGAACCTCTTTTTCCTCTCCACACTTCAAAATTCACTTTTCCTCCTCTCCTCAAAGCTTGCGCCTTTCTTCCAAATCTTCAAACTGGGAAAATAATTCATGGCACAATCATTCATATGGGTCTTCACTATGATCCTTTCATTATCACTTCACTCATTAACATGTATGTAAAATGTGGCTCACTTTGTAATGCAGTCCAAGTGTTTGATTTTATTTCTCAATGTGAAGATTTCGATGGAGATGTAACTATATGGAATGCTATGCTAGATGGGTATATTAGAAATGGACTTACTGAGGAGTGTATGGGTTTGTTTAGAAGAATGCAAGAGATTGGTGTCAAGTCTGATGAATACTCTCTTAGTATTCTTCTGGGGTTGTTCAATGGTCGAATGGGGTTATCGAAAGCAAAAGAAGTTCATGGTTATGTTATTAGAAACTCATTTGGGCATGATCCTTTTGTGGTTACTGCGTTGATTGATATCTACTCAAATTGTGGTAGGCCAAAAGATGCTTGGTGCGTTTTTGGGAGTGTACAAGACAAGGATAATATTGTCATGTGGAATGCATTGATTAGGGGCTTATCGGAGAATGGATTATGGAGAAACAGCATGAGACTCTATTCTTTAGCTAAGGATAGGGGCTGCAAACTTATGTCGACGACTTTTTCTTGCACTTTAAAGGCTTGTGCTGAGGGTGAAGATATAGATTTCGGCAGTCAAGTTCATTCGGATGTTGTCAAGATGGATTTTGAGAATGATCCATATGTCTGTACTTCAGTGTTGTCCATGTACGCAAGGGTTGGACTGTTGGAAGAAGCAGACAGGGCTTTTAGTTCTGCATTAGATAAAGAAGTTGAGGTGTGGAATTCTATGATCTCAGCTTATGTTGGCAAGGGCAGAGGGGATGATGCCTTCTGTGTGTATAATGTGATGCGATCAAGAGGCATCCTTTCTGATTCTTTCACCTTGTCAAATATTCTTATATCATGTAGTATGACCGAATCTTATGATTTAGGTATTGCAATTCATGGTGAAGTGATAAAGAAACCAATACAGAATAACGTTGCGTTGCAAAGTGCACTAGTGACTATGTACTCAAAATGTGGAATGCTAAAGGATGCTCTTGACGTTTTCAATAGAATGGAGGAGAAGGATGTGGTCGCATGGGGTTCAATGATCTCAGGTCTCTGCCAAAATAAGAACTTCAATTTGGCACTGGAAATATACAAGGAGATGGAGACGCATAAGGTCAATCCAGACGCTAATATAATGGCAATGTTGATAAATGCTAGCGCAGGACTAGAAAGCTTAGAATTGGGTTGCAGTATCCATGCAATCACTGTTAAGAGCGGGGAGGAAGTAGATAGTTCAGTGAGCTGTTCTCTTGTAGATATGTATTCTAATTGTGGCAAGCCAGAAATGGCTGAAAAGATTTTTTCGGGTGTCCCCCATAAGAATTTAGTGGCTTGGAATTCCCTGATCTCTTGTTATTCAAAAAATGACTCACCAGAGCTCTCTTTAAATCTTCTTCCTCAACTTGTCCAACATGGATTGTATCCAGACGCTGTTACACTTACTAGTGCCCTTGCTGCTGTTTCATCCTTAGCAATACTGATTAAAGGAAAGGCAATTCATTGTTACCAAATAAGGCATCAAATTCTTGAAGACAACCAAGTGGAAAATGCTCTTATTGATATGTACATAAAAAGTGGATGCCTAAAGTATGCAGAGCGTATATTCCAGCACATGTCTAAAAGGAACTTAGTAACTTGGAATACAATGGTTGCAGGGTATGGATCTCACAGTGAGTGTATGAAAGCTATCAACTTTTTTAATGAAATGAGGAAATCCGGAGTGACGCCTGATGCTGTAACTTTCCTATCCTTAATTTCCTCTTGTAACCATGCTGGTTTCATTGATGAAGGCCTTAAACTATTTCACTTAATGAAATTAGAGTATGGAATTAAACCACAAATGGACCACTACATAAACGTGGTGGACCTTCTAGGCCGTGCTGGACGCTTGGATGATGCTTACAACTTCATACAAAATTTGGACGTGGAACCTGAGAGAGGGGTGTGGCTATGTCTTCTGTCAGCCTGTCGGGTCCATCAGAACGTGAAGCTTGGAGAAATAGCAGCCAATAACCTTCTGAAGATGGAACCAAACAGAGGAAGCAATTACGTTCAACTTTTAAATCTCTATGTGGAAGGTGGTATGAGGGAAGAAGCAGCAAGTTTGAGGGCTCTGATGAGGCAGAAAGGGTTGAAGAAGAACCCTGGATGTAGCTGGATTGAGGTGAAAAATGAACTTGAGGTTTTCTACTCAAGTGATTCATCCTCTACCAAGACAATTGAGATCTATGAGACACTCCAAGGTCTCAGAAGTATTATGAAAAAGAAAGGAGATTATGAGACTCAGGCAATATGAGATGAGAATAGGAATTTGCATCTCTTCCTTTACGAACACGGGCTTAAGGCTATGTTGCTCGGACTCTTAAAAATGCCAACGGGTGCGTGTTATATTCTCCAAAGTAGTGTATTTTTAGAGAACTAATACGGGTGCGACATCGAAGGTGAAGTCGGGAGCTTGCATTTTCAAAATGCCATCTTTGACTTGCCATGTTGAATATTTAAGACTTCTCATCAATCTTACATTTCACCATACTTAATAAAATACTGTTTTTGTTGTTATGAGGGTGCTATAACCTTATGTTTCTTTCTCGAAGCAGTAAAAAAAAAGAAAATATACAAAAACATATTCTTACCATAACGTTGGCGGTGGGAAATAGCGGGTAAAGTCACAAAACTCAACTCATTGTAATCGCAAAACCGTTGATTAGTAGATTTCATCGTTAAAGAAAAATCTAGTGATTATACTGTTTTAAAGAGTAGAGTAAAATTACTTAAATGCGACACACTGCTATTACTGTCGGTAAGATTTAGCAACTTTAGCAGGTAAAAATTTTAAAAATTGCTGTTATTAAATTGGCTTACTTCAATTTGAGAAATAAATTCATGACTTGTATTATTTATACTAGTTTCGGAAACGTGCGTTACACGTTTGTCCTATATAATTATTATAAAGTTGAATCATTATATAATTTTGAAATTAGAAATATTAGTTTTACTAATTTATATTTCATTAATTAAATAAAATTCATAATAATGGAATAGTACATTGAGCATCAAGCAAGAAATATGGAAAAATAATTATATTACTATAGCATCTAATAATATGTATATATCTATATGACTTATCCTTAATAATCTCTCATTACGCTCCATATTAGTAAGTACATAAATATATAGCTACTTAAAGAAACTATATTAGTAAGGAAAGTTAAAAGTAAATAAATATTATAAAAGTACATTTAAAAACGAATCTAAATGTCTTAAATTAGTAATTTCAGCACTAATAAAAATAGACTTATAACATTCATAATTTCATAGAAGATTATATTAAAAAAGTATAATCGGTAAAGAATACAAAAAAATTAAACAGATAAGAATAAATACAACATTCATATCCTTCTTAAGACTTTTATTATAACAATATATATAGTAAAAAGAAATACACAAGGAGTGGAGTTTTTTTTCTCCCGTAACAAAGAAAAAGTCTAAAATGGTAAAGATAAAATTTATGATACAAAATATCATTCTAATGATGATGAACAAATATTAATATTTCAAAACAAAAAAAAAGTACCTGAAAATTGTCTGATGATTCACATCACACGAGGCAAGTGGTAAAGAAAAATTATTTTTTCATGATACATATTTTTAGCTAAAGATTCATTGGATAAGATGAAAAGGTGAAGAGTTGTTTAAGTTAATTTTCAGAGGTTAAGTGATCTTAGACATGGGGTAGAGGGAAAGGTAATTGTTTTTACTAATAATTCAAT